TGTCAGGTTCTGACAAGGGCTGTACCTGTCCCCCCTGCCCCCCCCCACCGTGGGTCTGGGGTCCCTTCCCAGGCCTCTAGCCCTCGCTTCCTCCCCAATCTCCTTCGGGCCGAGGATGGGAGGCACTGTTGCTGGTGCCCTGGGACTTCACTATTCCTTGCTGGTTCTTCTAACTCTGCCCGTGTACAGAGTCCCTTCACTAAACACTGTTCAAGTTAAGGCTCCTGAGTGTGCCACCTATTCACTGCAGGACCCTACACGATTAGTAAGTCCTCTCTGAGAGCAAATCCCATGGGGTGCACAGGGCCTAAGTCACGAAGGCTCATGCGCAGATCTTCTCAGGGCACTCTTCTCACCGCAGATGGGTGTGGGCACAGGCCCCAGGGCAAGTCATTTGATCCCCCTCACAGAGAGTACCCAGCTCATTCCATTGCCCTGTGCTCAGATGAGCTCCTGGAGACAGGGTTTCTGGGTGCAGACCAGCGCATCTGCGATCCGGCTGGCAGCATAAGGAGCCCCCTCATCTCTGAGGTCATCTGTAGGGTGAAAAATCGTATTTAGGAACCAGATCCTTATGTGAGGTACCTGGTTAAAGGGGAACCACTCTGCTCTGGTTGTGTTGTGAGGTATTTATAAGAAATAAAAAGCCACAAAGTCTCAGGTAATTAGGCTGCTATTTAATCACACGGAACCCAGGTTCTTATACAAGGCAGGAGACGGCAGCCAGCAGCGCCCCATAACCTCTCCAGCCTGGGTGACTGAGGCTAAGGAGATGGGGACACATGGGACACACAGGTGGGGTGGGGGCTCTGGCACAGTGTGTCCTGCCCAAAGCTGGGGGTAGTGGCCACTGGGGATCTGCCCCCTTGGCTGGCCCAGGTCTGCCATCACTCCATGAGGCAGAACTCTGACTCCTGCGGTCGCATGTTGGGTAACACATACAGAGCCACAGCCGCAATAGCCAAGAACACCATAGGCTTCCACATCCCAAACATGTTCTGTGGGGACCAAAGACAAATGGTGAGTGCCCGGCCTTCTGAACCCTTCCCTAAGCCAGAGGCTCCCCTGTCTACTGGCACTGGAGAGACATCAGGAACCTCACGGTCTGGTCTCTCGCACCTCCTGGGTAACTGCTGGAGACAGTGTGGTCTTAGTTCTGGCAGTGCTAGGTATCTGGAACAACGCTAGGTGTATCGCCCGAGGTGACTGCGTGTATTCATGCCCCATGGAATGAGGAGAATACCAGTTCCTGGGTGTAGAAGCCAGCTCAGGAGGGAGACCAAAGAGGATCCGGATGGTTGCAATGAGAAAGGATCAGGTGCCACGGCAAGAAAAAGAGGGTAAACTGGGGCCTTTGGGAAAAGCAGCAGTACCTCACTGGCTTTACGCAGGAGCCACAAACTCAGTCAAAAGGATAAGACTGAGGGGGAAGTAAAGAAAGCACACCACAGAGTGCAGGCAAACATGAGGTTTGTGGGCAGCCCAAACCTTTTTTGGACAATGATGTTGGTTCGAGGAAACTCAAGGAAGCCGGTCACAGGCCCTGGAGACAAATGCCTTAAAACACCCCCGGGGAACCAGTGTGTTGACGGACTTCCTGGCATGTGCCGGTGTGCTGAGTCTTCCAGACTCTGCCGACCACAGCAAATCCTGCTGATTCGTGGGACAACAAAGAAGCATCCTTTAGGGAACACGAAATCGTGGACAATACATACTTAGGGAAATAGTTCCTATTGTTATTACTTTTTTTATTGTATTACTTGAAAGACAGAATTTGGGTTGAGTCATAAGCTATGCCGTAATAACAGAAGGATGATTTTAGGTAAGAGCAGAGTACAGTATTGATGCTAAGAATGCATTTGCTCAGAGAATAACGGAACTAAAAAGAGGACTTTAAGCCAGCTATAAAGAGCAAAGAAGATCTCCTACATTTGTAGAAATAGTTACTAAAAAGAGCAGCACAAATGAAATGGAAAGCGAAACAACACTGGAGGTGGATATATAGAGTAATTTATATAAGAAAATAACTGGAAAGGAAGCTAGAAAAAGTATCTACATGCTTAGATGCTTATACCCTAATGTACACTGCTAAAAACGTCAGTCTGGTATTCTTAAAGAAGGACAGAGCGGGGTGCCTGTGTGGTTCAGTTAGTTAAGCATCTGACTCTGGATTTCGGCTCAGGTCACGACCTCAGGGTGGTGAGATCCAGCCCGGCATTGGGCTCTGCACTGGGTGTGGAGCCTGCTTGGGATTCTCTCTCTGCCACCCCCCTTAAATAAATTAAATTAAATTAAAAAAAAAAAAAGGAGGACAAAGCTAGACCCATAAATGTGAACTGATACCCTTTATACCAGTCAGAGGCAAGTTCCAGACTGGCTGAGTTCCAGACTGGCTGAGGGCTGGTCCCAAAGGGGTAAGTCACATCAGGCTTTCCTTTCAGACTAGGTTACTAAGTTGACAGATCAAAGAAATGTTTTTGGATTTTATCAAGACATCCGACAGATTTTCCATGATCTCCTTGGAGAGAACAAGAGGAAATAAAGAGTATGGTACCAGCACAGGTTGCTGTGTGACCATTTGTTATGTGACCAATGAGCTGGATAAAAGAGAGCCTGGAGAGACAACACTCCAGAGGCTCGGCCCTCGTCCTTAATGTGCACCAACAGGGTGCCTGGCTGGCTCAGTTGGAAGAGTATGCGACTCTTGATCTCGGGGTCGTGAGTTCAAGCCCTATGTAGGGGGAAGAGATCACTTAAATAAGACTTTAAAAAAAAAAAATAATGCACATGAACATATGAAAGTAGGCTGGTCGCCCTTGAGGAGGATGTGGAGCTGGCAGGGTAATGGATAATCTGAAACCACAAGGTCAAGATTAAACAAAAGAAAAAACAAACTCCATAGGTTACATCAATGGACTATACCTAATAGGAATGAATAAAAAATTCTGCCTCAGATCCAAAAAATCAATTGCAGGTAGAAAATGGGGAGAGGATACTTAGCGTACGCAATACGCAAAGGGGCTTTACAAACAACACATGCCTCCAGAGAGTTAACAACGTGACACGAGTTGTCAAGAGAGCTAATGCCACTGGAGGCTGTGTGAAGAGAAGTATGGAGTCTTCCTAATTACATGGAAGCAACCATGGAAAACTGCTCGAAATGAGGAGAGATGGTAAGGGGGAAGCAAGGTTGGAATTTTAGCTGTTGCTAATATTAGTCCTTAGAAATCCATTCACAATTCACTGGCGGTATTACTTGACCTCTCCATGCCTTAGTTTTATTATATATAAAATCATAACAAAAGCCACCTTGTTGGGTTGTTGCAAAGATTAAATAAGTTAATATATATGTGAGGTGATTAGAACAGTGCGAGGCACATAGTATGTATACTGTAAGTATACGCTTTTTAAATTATTTATGGGGTGTTTCATTATTTATGAAGCACTTTCATAAACATGAACTCCTGTGATCCTCACATGAGAAAGGCAGAGGTTTTACCATTCTTCACTGTCATCTGAAGAAACTAATGTTCCCGTTATGCATTTTGCCCACTGGGACTAAGCGGTAAGAGGCAGACACAGACCGGGACAGGTTCTCACCTGTCAGCCACACTTTCTACAGAGCTACGCTGCCTCAGCTCCTGGACTGGGAGCTGCAGAGTGGGGCACAGCCAGACCCTCCAAGAGCACCCTGACCCAGGAGCTCCTTCCTCTCACTCTGCGTGGGCCTGGCTGAGGTGCAGAAAGGTTATGGCCAAATGCTTTGGGTCTCCTCCCCTCGGGGCTGAGAAATCTGGATGTGGACTGGACAGGGATAGGCACCCTGTCACTAAAGAAGCTAGACTGTTTGTGGGGAGTACGTGGAACGCCTTAAAGAGGAGAAAGGATGAAGAGGGAAAAAAGTGAGGGGAGAAGGAAGGAGAAAAGGATGCTGGTGAGTGCTACCGACGTACGCTTCAGCTGCCGCCGCCGCAACCTGTGCATTAAGCAAGCTGCACTCCATTTGCAGGGGTGAGAAGGGAGGGTGGGAAGTGGGGGGGGGGCGCGGGGGAGCAGGAGAAAGGAGCCAGAACAGGCCAGGAGGGAATAGTTTATGGGTTCCAAAGACAGGTGGAAGCCTAGGGCTCTACCCCGGGACCTAAGACCACATTCTGCCTCCTAAATTTGGTATCCTGTTGACAGACCAGATTACATGGGCCGAGGCCAAGTGGAAAGTGCCCAGAAGATGTCAGCCTTGGCACCGTGAGAATACTTGCATCTCGTTCTTTTCACCAGTACCACATTATGTCCAAAAAGCCTGGCTTGGGAAGGCAATTACAACAGAGTCTGGACCCCAAAAGGGATAAACATAGAACTATAAAATATTTCCTGGCATTCTGGTTCTGAGTTTTCTGAAGACCAGAAGTCCCAAACCAGAGAATTTCTCCGTTGAAAGAACACAACATGGTAGGGGTTTCTGTTCCATTTTCGCCAAGTCTGGAGGACAAATTGAGCCTGCCCTCATACAAATGCCCCTGGGCAGGGGGTTAGGGTTGGGGTTGCGGGTTGGTCACAACACTCCAGAATTCCTCTCTCACCCAACAGGGGAGGTGCAGTGATGCCTTATTTTGCCATCCTGGGTGGTGACAGTAGTGAGAGCAAAGAGCGCTCAGGTCAGCCTTGCAGACAGGCATCAGCTCATCAGAAGTGGTCAGGCGTTTTTCAAAGTAGCAACAGTGCTGGGATCATCCCAAGTTTTCCCAGCCAGAGGACAGAAACTCAAACCGTGTCAACAGTATGCATTCCAACTCACTATGTGTTAGGAAGACGTACTCAGAGGTGCTATGGGCTTTGCAGTAGCCCAAGGAGAAGCCAGGGCTAAAACTCAGCCCCTGAGTATCCTGTTGTCAAATGGCTAAAAGCAAGAAGCAAGCGAGAGCAAGGGCAAAGAGGAGAGGCCGGGGCCACCTGCACCCTCCCTCTACCCCTCCGAAGGAGAGGACTCGGTACCAGTACCTGTGTTAGGACGACGTCTCGGCCCACCAGCACCAGAGCAAAGCCGATATGACCACCAGGGCTACGAGAGGCAAGGAGAAGATGGGGGGCTCCGGGGCAGGGGATGGCTGCAACATACCAAATGAGCAGGAAGCACAGGGAGAGGCCAGGAGATGGGGGGGGGGGCGTATAAAAAGACAGAAACACATGAATCCAATGGATAATGAAGATGAGAAAACAAAGGGAAAAGAGAAAGAGATCAAGAGGTTAAACAACAGGCAGTGAGGGCAGCCTTCTCTCTCCTCTGCGCCCGGGCCTGGATCTTCCCACTGGCAGCCTGTGGAGGATGCAAACCTGAATGGGTTAAGCAGCTGCTTAGGTCCAAATCAGGTCGGGGGGCCAGTTTGCTGGCTGGCCATTTCCCTCTCACGTCTTGTCAAGCAGGGGTGATCTGCCCTAGACTGTTCGTACAGGTCAGTAACTCTGGAAAAGGGAAGCTCCGAGAGTAAAGCCGGGCTCTCCGGATGAGGACGTATACTTCTCCCGGGTCACTCAGTCTCCTGCCAGGCCACCCGCCCCCTGCCCCCCCGCCCCCGCCGTTAGCCCACTTGTTCTGGCTGCTATCCACCGAATCTCAAGTATTCTGGGCCCTGGCCCTTACGATCCCCTAGAGTCTAATGCCGTTGTGGTGAGACAAAATGCACTACAACAGGCTAACAGTGGAGAAGTGCTAGTTCTTTGCAACAATCTTCCAGAGAGAAAGTGAATTCGCAGGCAGTAACATACACCGTTAGAGCTGCCTGCAAAATATGCAGGACCTGCGGAGGCAAAGGGACACCTCTGTATGTAGACACAAGGAACGCGCTCAACTTCGAAGTACAAGGATCCGGTCTGGCGTTTAGAGATGTTGGCACCCAAGGCAAGGAAATCGAGGAGGCTCGGAACCAGCATGCGGTAGAATATGATGAATTCGAAGAAACAGAGCACTGGGGAAAAGGCTGCGGTGGCTCCTACTTTTTTACATCCTAAGTAATGGTCCTCTGCCACAAGGTTAACAGAGAACTGCATGCTAGATCCCTAGCCGCTGCTGCAGACTGAGCTGCCGGAAAATTCCAGAGAGCCTTAGAGCTGACTGGGACATCCCACCACAAGAGACTTATTTTCTTCCCTGGTGTTTAGAAAGACGGAAAGAGCCTGTACCATAAACCGAGGACTTATTCAGGAAGTACTCACTCTTCAGGGAATCAGAGCCCCCAGTTAACCTCAACTAGCGCAGGAATTCAGCTGGTACATACCTGTGCAGATGTACCAGTTAGTTAAAATACAGAAATACTTTTGTATGGTTGGTATGTTACCCAGGATACTCCCATCCCAACCTCTCAAGATCTAGCAACTAAAGGGTTAGGACTCTGGTTGCTCTCCCCAGACTGGCCCACGCCCCTGCCGTGCGGACTAAAATATTCTATTACTTCTGACCAGCCCCAGCCCCTCCCCTCAATGCCCTGTAATACGCAGAACCCGAAAACCACACCTGCCCCCCGAAACCCCTAACAGCAACAACAAAGGTCAACCTAACAGGGCACCTCGAGGAGGCAGGACTGAGAGACTAACACAGGCTGGCAAAGAGCCTGAAGCGGGCCTCACACCATCCACGTCCTCAGTGCGGTGCTAGGTGAAGGGGGAAGACCTCCCGATGTAAGGAGCAAGGGCTGCCACAGAGGTGAAAGCAGGGAGGACTGCAACGGCCCCACCCTGGTTCCCAGAAAAGGTGATCTTTGAGACACAGGTAGGTCCACAGCAAAGTGGTTTCAGCCGGCCATTTCCCGTGGAGACCCCACTTCCACCCCTCCCGGCTCCATCTCCACTCTCCCCGAACGCTAGGCCTCAGGGCTGGCTGGCCTATACGCTCCTGCAGAAGTCCATCCTCGGGCTGGGTCACCCCGCCACACCAGGGCACCTGAGCCCCAGAGCCCACTTCCCACTCGGTCCAGCCTTCGACTGCGGTTACCTTTTTGCTCTCAGAAAGCTTGAGGGGGTTGTTTCCCTCTGAAGCTTCAGGGCAAGTGTCCTTGGCGCTCTCATCTTTATTGTCATCTTCCTTGCCCTCCTGCTCTTGGGACTCTTCGTAACACCCCTCCTCAGCTTCTGCAGACTTAATCTCTGCAGGCTCTGATGGCACAGAAACCAGTTCATTGCAGGAGTCCTGCTTCGAGTCCTTTTTGATTTCCTCCTCTTCCTCCTCCACTTCCTCTTGTATCAGACCACCTAAATCCGTGTGGCTGGCCTTGTAGTACAGCACCACCTCCAGACTCTGTGGGCGGAGGCAGGGCAGGACGGGGGCTCCGGTTACCGCGAAGAGGCCTACCTTCGCGACGAAGCCGGACTCCCTCAAGCGCACTCTGCTTCCCAGCCTGGCACGGTGCGCAGGCAGCACCACGCTTGGGCACCGAGGCTCTCCCTGAGCGTCGTGTGGAGGGCAGTCACGCCCAGCCTCTCTGGACCCACACGGCCATCCGGCCGTTGGCCATCTCGGACAGCTACCAGAGCTAGAATCTTGGGCTCTGCCCCTCAGCTGCCACCTCCGACCCCTGCAGGGCGGCTACGACTCCTATTTTCCCCCCTCCTTCTCACGTAGGAGTCCGCCACCGCTTCAAATAAATTCCTTCTTTTCATCCATTTGGTCCCTCTCTTGGGCACATAAGCCAGGAAGAAAAGGGGCCCCAGGAGACTGGGCTGAGCTAATTGGAGCCCTCATCCATCCTAGGGGCTATGGTCCTTTGGGGCTGTGTCCCCAGGTATAAGTGGTCTGTGTTCCACTCCCCTTACCTCCAGAGGAAAAGGGAGTACGGAATTGCTACCAAGAGGGAACTACTCTAATACACGAGAGAGACCAGAAGCTTCTCTACAAATACCTCACCTGGCCGGAATGGTGGTGGTGGTGATTTTTCTTCCCAAGATCTCCTCTGCCTTTCTGCTTATCAGGCTACTAAGGTTATTACTCACCTTTTCGTTCTCATAGCAGCCCTCAGAACCGTCCAGGCTTGGTTTGGTCACCTTTTTGTTTTTAACCCCGTTGGCATTTTTGTTCCTATTCTCATTGTCACTTTTCCCCTTGGTCTCTCTGGGAACAGAGGACTTCTTCTCCTTGAGCTGGCGGAGCTCTTCCTGGCAGCACTGCAGCTGGCCCTCCAGCTGCTCCTGCACGGCCAGAAGCCGCCCCTGCTCATCCATGCTCGCCTGGTACTGCAGCTGCAGCTCCCGCAGCTTGGCCTGCAGCTCTCTGATCTGCAGGGGGGCAGGGGGTGCAAACGGCCAGTCACCCACAGCCCGGCCTAGGGGTCACTGCCTCAGAGTTTGCCCTGCTAAGGCCCATGGGGGAGTAGACAAGAGAGGAAACATTAAACTGCAGGATATGAGCCTCTAAAGCAGTTTCAGAAATAGCTTCTAAATGAGGTACCTGATGATTTACACCTATTGGGATCAAAAAAGGATGATTTAAATTATGTTTTTACTGGGACCCGTCTGGGGAATAACTACAGAGCTGCCCCTTCTGAAGCTCAGGGCTTTATTATGGACATCTTTTTGATGGAAACTCCTACTTCGCCCAAGCGATTTCTCTAAGAGGTACAACTACCTAAGGAACCGTGTGGTCCACTCCTGAAAGTGTGCCTGGGCTCCTGCAAACCTCTCCCTGGAAACAGAGGCAAATTCCAACCCTGCTCCCTAATTTCTGGTTTTGTCTTCCCTGACTTCTGGCATCACAGTCTCCCCGGTAGGTAACAATACTAAGCAACCAAGGTCCCCAGGCTGACTGTTGTCCGAACTCTCCCATGCATACACAGTGAGTCCCGCTGGACTGTGGACTACTCGTGGGCAGGAAGAATGCCTTCTGTCCCATCCCTCATGGATGCAGAGCACCCTTCTTGGCATTATAAGGGATCCAAAGGACGCAAGGCTCTGCCCTCGAGGTACTTACAATCTAGTTGAAGAGACAAGTACACCAAAAATAACTAAAGGTGAAAAAATACAACTCTATAGAAGTGCTCTGGGACAGAGCAAAAGAGGGAAGTGGTAAAAGGAAAAAAAGAAAAATTATTCAGAGTCTTGATGATGAGTACATCTCAGCACAGTGAGCACCTGAGGACCGTCCACCAGTGCTGTGGCAGAGTGCCCAGCCTCCTGGGGTTCAGCCCCTGCTCTGTTCCTCTGACCAGGAAGGGGGCAACCATGCAGAGCAAGCAGTAAGCTCCCGGCCCTCCTTCCTCAGCCCTTCCGAAATGGCTAGGACCTATGACCTGCTCTGGCTCTAGGGACTCCTAGAAGAAACCTTGCCGCCCAGACAGCAGTTACCTCGTTCTTGTCCTTGTCGTTTGGGGAGGCAGCGGGCTTCTCAAGGCTTTCCATGCATTCCTTGAATTCCTTTTCACAGGCGACCAGCTCTTCCTTCAGCTCTTTCTGCCTGTCCAACAGCTTTTTCATCCGGTTTTGCAGCCGGTCATGTTCCTCCTGGCTGAGCTGGTACATGGCCTGCACCCCCTGCAGCTTGATCACCACCTTGGTGACCACGTCCTCACAGCGCTGCGGAGGGCGGAGGAGTAATGACCGCACCCTGAGAAGGACCTGCCCTCCACCCCACTCTCTTTGCTAGGCCCCATCCTGGGTATAGAACAACGGCAGCAAGGTTCTGAAGCTGCGCTGGGGCTAATTCTGTGTTTCTTCCCATAAAGCACCATCGCTGTGATGGGAGCATCTCCATATTAGACAGGCGGAACGCCTCATTCACTTCCGGTGACCCAGCTCAGCTCTGACCCTGCCGCCCACCTCACTTCTTGCACCCTTCCCTGACTTATCTCTTAGTAAGACAAGAGGCTTTCCTCCCTGTCCGACCTCTCCTCTGGCTCTTGTACCTCTAGGTCTTCAGGCTCGGCAGGTCCGTCGTTAGTGCTGCTGCCGTAACTCTTGTAACAGGTGTCAGAGCTGGCGCTGCTGCCGTAGCTCTTCTTATAGATGCTGCTGCCGCTGCTGCCGGCGCAGTAGCTCCTCTCGCTGCTCTCCTGGGGACTGCTGCTGCTGCTGTCATAGCTCTTGAGAAAGCTCTCGGTGCTGGCCTGGGTGCTACCGTAACTCTTGTGATAGCTCTCGCCGTCATCGAGGCTGCTCCCATAACTCCGGCGGTAGTTCTCGCTGCCGGTGGCCGTGCTGCCGTAGTTCTTCTCCAAGCTCATTCTGCTGGAAGGGGACCGGACCTGGAGCAGCTGCATTTCTTCCAGGCAGAGCTGCAGGTCGGCCCGCAGCCTCTTCCGCTCCTCGAGGAGCCTGCCCTGCTCCTGCTGCAGTAGCTCCTGCTCGGTCTGCGTGCCCTCGTAGAGCACCTGCAGAGCCTGCATCTGGGCGGTGATCAACTTGGACTGCCGGGAGTGGGTGGGGAGACACTACCATTACTCTAGACACCGCCGTCCTCCTCGCTGCACCCCCCGGGGCAGATGTCTGGGAGCACACTTCAGAGACCTGCACACCTACACTCCAGTCTCACCACAGCCTAGGTCTTTAACCGCCTGCAGTTACTGGCATGTCAGTTACTTGCTCGTTGGGGAGAATCTACCCAGGGCAGATATTCTGCGATTTCCAGGCTCCCATTTTGGCTGGTTTCTAAACTCTGACACATCCCTCTCTCCTTGCAGCAGAGCTGAGTGATAACCAAGAACACTCTGGCCCCCTACCCTACCGTCTTCTCAGTCAGGACATACCCATTATCCTGACCTTGGGGCTCAGTCCCCTCCCCTGCCCCCAACTCTAAAATCAGCCCCGGCCCTGAATGTGAGCCTACAAGAATGCCTCCCTCAGAAGATGTGGACCTGGAATTAAGGTCTCACTACAAGTCCCTGTACCTCCTGTCCCAACTCTGAATCTGGCCTCTAGGCATGTTACCCAGGCCCTCTGGGCCTGGCTTCTTGGCTGCTAATGCCCAGGATGAGATCTGATCGGTTAAGGAAAGAGTTCTACCTGGTTCCTGGCCTCTGTGTAATCCAGGCTGAAATCTGATGCTTCTGGAATCTGACCAAATCTCAGTTTGGATTTCTGCAATTCCCTGGTTCTCCCTATCCAGGCTAATATTTGAATGAATAGGGCTAGCCTTAAATTGAAACTGTCTACCTGCTCTTCCTGGCCCACCCTGAGACCTCAGACCAAATGCATTCCCCAACCCCAAATAGAGTTATCAGGAAATCTCCACCAGTGTGACCTCAGAGGCATAACCCCTTCCTGGTGCTTGCGACGCATGGATTCTCTAGTCTAACCCTCTTGACCTGGCTGTTATTGCCACCAAAGTTCCAATGAAGACAGTGTGGCCAGTACCATTAATGCCACATGCTAGGAATTCTTCCCTTGGAAATGAATGGCCCCAGATTTGTCTCAGGTAGAACACCGAAAGGTTATAGATTTTGATCACTGAAAGTGTACTGCTTAATTATCAACCAGCTCATGAGAAAAGGATGACATGCTCAGAGTCAGTCCCAAGGAATCCAGACAAACCCTAAGTTGCTATTATAAATCTGGAAAATGATATTGAAGGGGCTGCATCAAATTATCAGGTGATTAAATTCCGGGATCACCCTGATCTGTCCTCGGTGTTCACAGCACTTCAACTGGGCATGTATCTGATTGAGATCCTCAGCCCATAGCTAAAGCCACATTTTCACGAGCCCATGGGTGGTCATGGCTGAAGAAGGGGGCCTTAGTCTCATCCTTACTCTTGGCCAGACAGGCCTTCCTAACTCTGACCCTTCCATGGAGCCCTCTTCCCTACCATGCTGTTGTCCCCAGAACTGCCTCCCTGTCTCTTGTTCTGTTACCTTGTTGTGACCACACTTGGAGGACTTAGGTGATTTGGAATCGTTGGGATTCTCCAACACATCCCGGAAACGAGACATTTTGAAAAGATGCAGCTCTTCATGCAGATCTGACTGTTCTTTGAGCACACTTTCTTGATTCCGTACCAGTTTTTTCTGCTCATCCTGCATACCTTGGTAGAGCAGCTGTAGTTCACACAGGTCTTGTAACTTTGTAAGTAGCTCCTGACTCTGCGAGGTGGAGTGGGAAGGAAGTGGGCAGGAACTGTGGTAGCTCTGTGGGAAGACCCATGCCTCCTTCCTGCTGGGGACCCTTCCCTTAGGAGTCTCTGGGTTGGCTCTGACCAGCCATCTGGGACGGGGTCGGTGTGGCGGGGGAATGGTCTTCCTATGGAGACCCACTAGGTGAGTAGCCATGATCTCGTAAGTTTGCAGGTATTCTGTAGTTTACAAAGTTCTCTCAGAGTATATTTTCTCCAGAGGGACTAAAAATCTAAAGAGAAGATGCTGGACAGATTCCAGAGTATACTATGTGTTTTAAAATTTAAAACCCTAATCAGCTATATTGAACATTTTGGTTTGAAGAGATCGGTGACAAAGTAAGGAGGGGCTGATGCAGAAAAGAAAAGGTTCGATTCCCCCCCTGTTCTTTTTCCCAAGTATAGTCATACCTCGGAAACTTCTCAAAGCAGCTTCTCCCTAGTTAGCCGCCGTTCCCTGGCTGGGGTTACCTTAGGGAGGAGACCAGCTTTGGGTAGCGGGAACGTGAGTCTGTGCAGCTCTTCTTGCAGCTGCCCCTGCTCCTCCTGCATCCTCCTCTGATCCTCCAGGAGCTCGCACTGCTCCATCTGCAGCTGCCCCATCTCCTTCTGGCTGGCCTTGTACTTTTCCTGCAACTCTGTCAGTCTGGACAGCAGTGTGTCACACTGTGGACGGGGGAGGAGGGGGTGCAGAGGGGCGGTTACTCTGTGAGGCGCTGCTCTGCACCGTCCAGCTGGCAGAGCCCTTCTGTGCTCTCCTGCCCTTTGTGGTTCAGCAGGGGCTCCCACCCTCTATGGCCCCCTTGGACTGACCATCCCAAGCCACACTGGACCCATACAGGTTTAGACACCGAATGGGAAACCCTGGCGGGCCGCTAAGGACTGTTTGGCTATGCTGCAAATTTCATCTACTGGTCCCTTCTGAGAGCCCTGTGAGGGGAGTGTTACCAACACCACTCCCTTCTCATGACCCCACCTTCCTTTCCTTTGGCCATTCCCTGTGGTACACACCGTTCTCCGGCCCTGCTGGGAGTTCTAGTTCCTGTTACTGTCATCATCCCCAGTTGGTTTTATACCTAATTATACTCCTTACCAATAAAAACGTCACCCGATTTGCCCCCATTTTTGTTTTCATAATCATCTTTTTAAATCTCTAGAAAAATATGGGCTATTGCTGAATTTGGGTTGAGAAGACTAAATTATCCCATGATTCCAAGAACCCAAACCTTCTAATATCAAACTCATCTCCATGCTGTTTTTAGGACAAGAGGAAAAGCTGGCTCCGTGTCAGCATGCTTCTCCCTCCCCACAGTCTCTTCTACTAGGAGAGGAGCGGATGAGCAAGTCATGGACACTCTGGCCTCTAAACTGAGCAGGAACAGAAGAAAGCAATGTGAGCCTGGGTGTAGAAAGGCAGGTAGACTGTTGGGAGTGGTCCAAATAACCTCCCCATTCTGGGTCTTCAGAAGGCCTTTGACCGGGGACACAGCCTGCTGCTGGCTGTGGTAGGAGTCACTGAGGATTTGGGCAGAAGGTGACTGGCTCCACCATCTTTTGAGAATCTCGTGCCTTTTCTCCACCATGTTTCAACACCTTCCATTTCCTATCAGTGATCAGGAGCTGAAAGTGCTCAACACAGGGTAACTGATAATGACTTTTTACACACTATGGAAAAAAAGAAAATGAATAAGGAAGGCCTTACTTATCACTACCAGGATTTATTACTACAAGCAAGTGAGAAAAGAATAATATTCTGTTCAATTTAAAGAGGGTAAAACTCGAGCTTAGAGAACGTCACTCTTCTGAAGTCACAGAGTAAACCCTGGAAGAACCTAGGTCCTTCTAATATCCAATCAGCACTCTAGGCACAAGACCACGTCATCTGACAAGAGCATCTGCAATCTGCCTGAGAAAACTGGACCTTCTCTTTTTAGGTCTAATGAGAAAAGCTGTATATGTGGGCTTTTGTGTATGTTCTTCTCCACAAATGACAAGGTATCACTACAGTTCTAATAACAAAGTATAAATGTCTACACACATGGATCAAGTGCAAAACCCTCTGATGTTCAGACAGGATCCAGCTGTACTGATCCTACTAGGCTGTGGCTTGGGCTCAAAGTCAAGATCAAGGCAAACTGTTTAAAAGTCAACAGCGTGGGACTCTGCTTCTGTTTCCTGATTCGCACACTCAGCTGTGACCGTAAAGGAAGCTCATCAAGCCCCTCGGTTGGATGACTTCACCTTTTGCCCTTACAACTCATCTCTCCAGAGGAAGCACCCAGGAGATCTCACCTCTCTTAAGTACAATTACCTTATTAGCACATTTCCCCTTTTCCTCTGGGATGGGCTTGGTGGTCTTGAGCTCCTTCAGCTCCTGCTGGCAAAGCAGGAGGTCCTGCTCGAGCTGATCATACATGTACTTCCGCCGCTCCAGCTCTTCCTTGCTGGTCTGGTACAGCCGCTTCATCTCCTGAAGCTGGGCGTGCATCTCTGCGTTCTGGGGTAGGGGAGGCAGGCCCCGCCATCATCCCAGAAGCCCCTGCAGCTGCACTCTCTCCTCTCAGACAGGGACTAAGGGATCCTACTCGGTCCTTTCCAGTCCCAATTTCATCCCACTGGGGGTGACCTGAGATGGACCCTAAAAGGCTCTACACAGGGACCTTCTGGGGCTTCCTTTTCGGGTAGGTGGGGAAGAAAGAGAGCTACCTTTTCATAGGCTGATTTTTTTATTAAAAATCAAAGGAAGCTGAGAGCGTCATGACTCTCTGAGATCACCTTTCTACTAGGCACCTCTTTATACCCCACACCAAGGGCTGTACCATAGAACTCCTACGATGCTCCCTCCTCCTTGGTACTATTGCTCTCACAGAAGATTCCATCTGGCTACATCTCCCTCACCGGGAGCTTCTTTTACCTTCTCACTGCTCTCCTGGAAGGAGGCCACGATGTCCTTGAGGCGCTGCACCTCCGCCTCATGGTACCGCAGGTCCCCACACAGCTGTTGCTGCACTTCCAGCAGCTTATCCTTCTCGCACGTGATGTGCTGGTACTGGAGCTGCAGCTTCTGTAGCCGGCACAGTAACTCCTGCGGTGGAGGGGGCTGTGGGCAGTAGCTCTGGGGGCATCAACCCGCTCGCTCTTCTGCCTGAGTCACTCTCAGGCACGGACAGTCTAAGGCCTGCCTTCTCCCTGCCCCTCGCTGACCGGCTGTCCTCTCGTCCGACACAGTGCCCGGGGGTGGCCGGAGGCCCCTACCGGTGCTGCACGGCTGGCAGCCGCCCTTAGTTTAACTCCACTCCAGGCCACCTTCCCCAAAACCTCTTAGCACCTCAGTTGCCCCTCACCTCCTTTTGTTGTTACCTTCTCATTTGGGCTTTCTACGACTGTGGATTTCAAGACTTTGAGCTGCCGGAGCTCAGACTGAAGTTGTAGCTGCACCTTCAAGAGCTCATTCTGCTCATCCTGGCTAGCATCATACTTTTGCTGCAGGGCACAGAGTCTGGTCTTCAGCTCCTCGTTCTGTGGTGGGAGGATGTGGGTAGAATGGTTACTCTCAAGAAACAGCAGACCCCTCTACAGACCAGTTTGGGTCCTTTCCAGACGTAGACATCTTGAGGAGCTCCCACAGGTCTATGGTTGGGTTTCTTCTCTGAGGCAGACACTCAGTAATGACTACCATCTCTAGAATGCAATGCTACGTGACTTCTCCAACTGGTCTCCAGTAGACTGTACCCTTGGTCGCAGGGCAAGAGTCAGCAGAGCACAACCTTGCTCTGCGTTCATCCTTCCCCGATGCAGCAACTCCATGGAGGCCCGTCTGCCCTCCCCAAATGCCCTTCCCCTGGCAGTGTTTACCTGGGTGACACTGTGGGAAGTCTGAAACCGAAGCACCTCATTCTGTGCACACTTGAGCTCCCTCTGCAGCCGCCTCTGCTCCTCCTCACTGGTCTGACGATGATGCTGTAGTTCTTGCAACTCACAACACAACTCCTTACACTGTGCAAGAGACGGAACAGAAAGGCCGATCGAGGATAGGTGCCACATGCACTTCGAGAATAGGCTTGGTGGGGGCGGGGGGTGGGGATAGGCTTGGAAAGAAGTTGACATTCCTTTTATTGGAATATTTACACCAGGCAAGCGAGACCCCAGAGGACTACCTCCTGCCATAGTGCATGCCCCCTTTGTCGGCCCTGTGTCTAAGGAGATGTTTCTACCACGGGCCAGGAGAGGGTAAAAGAGAGACAACGAAGGTGCCTGCCTTCCCCTACCTTGTTCTGCATGTCATGCATCTGCTCTTCAGCCCCTAGAAGCTGTTGTCGCAACAACTGGGTTTCAGGATCAGGTTCTAGAAAATCCATTTCTGAAGTCTGAGACTCTGATGACATCATATCCTTCAGCATTTGGGACTCCAGCCACTTTTCTGTTGCTCTTCGTGTCCTGTGATCCAGAACCCCAGAGCCATGTTTGGGTACGTGGTCTGCCTGGCATCACCTGCTAAGTGTGCTTGGTCCTGATGTCTTTATTTTAGGCCAAGATGGTAAAGAGCCTTCTATTGTAGTTTATCTCCTAAATAAACATGCTGAGAAGGTGAAGAAAAAGTCCTAGCACCTCAATCGAGGCATGTTTGGCTCTGGGAGACCTAAGCGTGCTACTCTAGTTGGGCTCAAGGCTGGGCCTTATGTCAAGCCAGCTCTAATCTGGAGGCCCTATACCATTAGACTGAATCCATTCTGTGTAGACAACAAAGGAATCACTTCTGATCAACTCTAGGGCAGAGCAAACCAGACCCCAATCCCTAGAATGGAAGAAAACTAAATTTTAGAATCCAGTCCTGAGACAGCTGGATCTCCATGCCTGCATCTAGGCGGCATCCATACTCTTCGAAGGACCAGCTGTCTAAGAGCAGAGGGACATTCATTAGCCTGCATCTGCCTTCACTAATTCTACTCAAGAGAAAAGCCCAAAGCAGAGCCCCGCAGAGCCCCCTAGCCTGCTAGCTGTACCTCTCACTCTCCAGATCCGCAAGCTGCCCTGTGAGGCTGCTGTTACTCTCACGCAGGGCCTGGTACTCCTCGTTCAGGAAGCGGCAGCGTTCCCGCAGTTGCTGCAACTCTTCTGCAGAGGGCAAATGGAGACATGTGAGATCCTAGGGGAGAAGCACTGGTAATCAGCCCCTAATCTTCCTGCCTAGAAATCAGATAGCAGAAGGCCGAATAGCTTCTTTTTTTCTAAAGACAGAAGAGACACCACATGACACGGCTTAGAAGACAAGGCCCCCCAAATTCCACACTGCTATGTGTCTTTGTCCTCTTTCAGGTAGCTGCCCTTCTTGTCATCTGCCCAGAAGCTCTGCCCTGTGTGCCCATCTTCAAAAACCCAACCAAGGCAGAGTCTTGAGATTTTAGGAGCTCATGAAGGTTTTAATTGAGTTTCTGGGTTATTGTATTTCAAGTCTCCATTGAACTGTTTATGATTACCTTCCTATTACTCTTTAAGTAAAAGAGCTGAGGGATGTGAACTGCCAGATGTCACACCGCTAGTCCTGGCCTTTCAGAGACAACTCCAGCATCCTGAGCGTCCTTTTACTTACTTCATCACCACACCAAATACACTGGCCAGCATGTGGTCAAGAATTCTTTTTTGACCCAGCACATGTTCCTAAGTACGAGGTACCAACTGAAATGCCCCAGCACGTGTTCCTAAGTGCCAGGTACCAATACGTTTTAAAGCTGCAATCATGGGCGCCTGGGTGGTTCAGTCAGTTAAGCGTCTGCCTTTGGCTCCGGTCATGATCCTGGGGTCCTGGGATCAAGTCCTGAATCGGGCTCCCTGCTCAGCATGGAGTCTGCTTGTCCCTCTCCCTCTGCCCCCCGCTTTGCTTGTTCTCTCTCTAATAAATAAATAAATTTTTTCCCCAAAAAATAAAGCTGCAATCATATAAACACCCCTATCTATCTTGTTTCTTCCTGATTAAGAATTATTTCTCTTAGGGGTGCCTTTGGCTCAGGTCATGATCCCAGGGTCCTGGGATCAAGTCCCGCATCGGGCTCCTTGCTCAGCAGGGAGTCTGCTTCTCCTTCTCCTTCTGCCCCTCCCTCTGCTTGTGCTCTCTCTCTCTCAAATAAATAAAATCTTTAAAAGAAAAAAAAAGAATTATTTCTCCTACAATACCAATTCTACTGATATTTAAAGAATGTTAATTTACTCCAATTAGAACACAAGGCCTATCTTATCTGCTGTAAGATTCAACACCCTGAAATTCACGTCTAATGTTCCTTCTTTATTCCAATCAAAAGTCCTTGGAATACTGCAGATTATCATGGAAGGAAGGAAGGAAACTATCTTTAATACAAGCCAACCATGTGCTAAGCATTAGCTTGATGGTTTCAGCCTCACATTCATTTACTCTGTGAGTACTTCAACACGCTAGGCATTTCATTTAATCCCAAAAATAGCCTTGTAAGGTTTCCTTTCTCTTTTTTTTTTAAATAAACTTTTAATTTTACAATAGTTTTAGATTCACAGAAAAGTTGCAAAGATGGTGCAAAATTCCCCGGGGAGAGCTTTCACCTAGTTTCCCCTATTGTTAACATCTTACCATGGGTACATTTGTCACAACTCAGGAATCAACATTCATAAATTACTGTTAACTAAACTGAACATTTTATTCAGATTTCTCTCCATTTTCCCTAAGGTTCTTTCCTGTTCCAGGATCCCCTCTGGCTGTAAAGTTTTGTTTTTGTTTTTGTGTTTTTAAGATTTTATTTGACAGAGAGAAACACAGCGAGAGAAGGAACACAAGCAGGGGGAGTGGGAGAGGGAGAAGCAGGCTTCCCGCGGAGCAGGGAGCCTGATGCGGGGCTCGATCCCAGGACCC